GGAGAACACAGACACGGGGAGACCCTGGTGCGCACCTTCCGCTCGAATCCGCTCTTTCCACGCCGCTTCTGCTGCCTGGTGCTCCTCGCACTGTGCATGGCGCACGAGGTTTTCCTTGCGTTGGAAACTCGCGGATCCCTGGCCTATGGTGGAAATGCAGCGAGCGCCCTTGAATGCCGAGCAGAACAAGCAGACTGCAAATCTACCACCAACGCAGCCTATCCAAGTTTCACTCTTCTGTGTTACTGGATTCGTCGCAGACATCGAGGCGCTCCATTTCTCATTGTTCTTCCAAGGTTTGCAAGCGCCGCAGGTGGAGACGTGCTTTGGATAGTCGTGGCTGGCGACGTGCTCCTCCAAGGCGGGAACTTCTCGACTACTTTGCTCGGGGCGGCCTTCGCCTTCGCTCTTGCAGCCGCGGCTGCCACGCTGCTGGAGCCGCTGTCCTCTTCGGAGCCGCTGTCTGAGCCGCTGTTGGAGCCGCTGTCCTGTTCGGAGCCCGCTGCGTCGGCAGCGGCCACGGCAGTTGTTGCAGCTGCCACGGCCGATTCTGCGTCCGAGCTGTTGCAGCTGCCACGGCATGGCGAAGCTGCCCTCGACGCGGCCGCAGGGCTCGGGCTCAAGGCTCGGCGAAGCTCCTGCCCTCGAAGAAGCAGGGCTCGGCGAAGCTGCCCTTGAAGAAGAAGAAGCAGGGCTCGGCGAAGCAGCTGCCCTAGTAGAAGAAGCATGGCTCGGCGAAGCTGCCCTCGAAAAAAGAGGGGACGACGAGGCTGGAGGGCTCGGGGAAACCGCCCCAGCGGACGACGACATTATTTGATAATGTCGTCGTCCGCCGTCCGCTTGAGCCAAGTCCTAATGATGATGATGATGCTGATGATGATGATGGTGATGGCGGTGCTGATGGTATGGGTGGCGATGATGATGATGATGGGGATGGTGATGACGGTATGGTGAGGGCGGTTGTGATGGTGATGATGGTGATGGTGATGATGGTGATTCTGGATGTGATGAGCACCACCATCATCACCATCACCATCGCCACCACCATCAACACTACGATTTGAGAACCACCGTCATTACAATCGTCGTCGGCATCAAAAACCATCAAAAACCTAAAAACAATCAACCGACTCAACCTATTTTCGCCTTAAATCAAGCCAGCTTAGGGATCCGAAGGAATCCCTAGGAATCCTGAGGAATGGACTCCTCAAGAATCCCTAACGAATCCTTGGGGATCCCAGGCAATCCAGAAGAACCCCTGGGGATCCCAAGGAACCCTTAGGAATCCGGAGGAATCCGTAGGAAACCGACGAATCCCTAGCGAATCCTTGCAGACTCTTTGCGCAAACCGAGCGCCCTGGGCGTCTGGGTCCCTAGTGGAATCGAAATCCCTAGGAATTCCTCGGACTTGGAAGGATTCCTAAGGATTTCATGAAGAATCCCTAGAAATTCCGCACGAAGTCGCGAGGAGTCCTTAGGAATCCCTAGCGACTCCTTGCGCAGACCGAACGCCCTGGGCGTCCGGGTCCCTAGTGGAATCATTCGAGAACCCAACGACTCCTTACGATTTGCAAGAATTCCTAAAAATTTCAATACTTAGGAATCCCTAGGGATCCCTAGGAATCCATAGGAATCCTTAGGAATCCTTGGGAATCCCTCGGAATCCTTTGGAATCCTTAGGAATCCTTAGGAATCCCTCGGAATCCTCAGGAATCCCTTGCGAATCCCTCGGGATCCTTGGGGATCCTTAGGAATCCCTAGGAATCCTTCGGAATCCTTAGGAATCCTATGGAATTCCTAGGAAACCATGCAAATCCTTAGCGAACCCTTCAAGACTCCTTGCGCAAACCGAACGCCCTGGGCGTCCGGGCGTCTACTGGAAATCCTTCGGAATCCTTCGGAACCCTTCGGATTTGCAAGGATTCCAAAGGATTTCCGTGGGAATCCGCAGGAATTGCGCAAGGAGTCGCTGGGAATCCCTAGGGATCCCTAGCGACTCCTTGCGCAAAACGAACGCCCTGCGCGTCCGGGTCCCTAGTGAAGTCCTTCGGAAACCAAGCGAATCCTTACAATTTGTAAAGATTCGTAAGGTTTCCACTATCTATGAAGCCCTGCAAATGTTTAGGAATGCCTAGGAATCCTTAGGAATCCTTAGGAACCCCTACGAATCCCTAGGAAGACTCAGCGAATCCTAAAGAGTATTTAGGAATCTTTCGGAATCCTTGGGAATCCTTCGGAATCCTTAGGGATGCTTCAGAATCCCTCGGAATCTGTAGGAACCCCTAGGACCCCTGAGGGATCCTGAGGAATCCTTAGGAATCCTTAGGAATCCTGAGAAATCCATAGGAATCCTTAGGAATCCATGGGAATCCTTTTGAATCCCTAGGAATCCCAAGGAATGCTTAGGACCCCCTAGGAATCCCGAGCGAATCCTTGACGACTCGTTGTGCAAACCGAATGCGCTGCGCGCCTGGGTACCTAGTGAAATCCTACCGGAACCTCCGAATCCTCACGATTTCCAAGGACTCCTAAGAATTTCGCGACTTCGGAATCCCTAGGAATCCTTAGGAATCCCAGCGATTCCCTACGAATTCTTAGGAATCCCCTGCGAATGGGTTTCCAGACGGCGCAGAAGTACCCCAAGAAACTGTAGGAAGGCTCCAAGAGCACTCCCTAGAGAGCTCCCAAAGTCATCAGCAGCATCGCCATCACCTACTCCTAGTCATCATCAGCAGCATGATCATCATCGTGTTCACCATCATTCTCATGAGCATCATCCCAACCATCATCATGCCAACCATCACCATCATCAGCATCCCCATCATTATCATCATCATCATCATCATCATCATCATCATCATCATCATCATCATCCTGATCGAACTCCTCATCATCCTCCACCTTCGACACCGGGGTGCCCAGGCGCACAGGACGTTCGGTTCCATCATGTCCGATTCAATGGGCGGGGGCCAAAGCCCAAAAACCAAATAGAAAACCATCAAGGTAAAATTACATTATGGGGCCCAACGTTGGCCGCATAAGCTTCCAGAAACTACAGAATGACGCAAAAGGACAGCGAAACAACATCAGAAAAATGGTTCACTACTAGGGACCCGGACGCCCAGGGCGTTACCTACTACTACTACTACTACTACTACTACTACTACTACTACTACTACTACTACTACTACCTCTACTACTTCTACTACTACTTCTACTTCTACTAGGACTACGCCTACGACGACGACGACGACGACGACGACGACGACGACGACGACGACGACGACTACTACTACTACTACTACTTCTACTATTACTACTACTACTACTACTACTACTACTACTACTACTACTACTACTACTACTACTACTACTACTACTACTTATGATGGGGTTGTCCCCCTAGGAGCTTTATAATGTGAAAATCTAGAAATTGCTGTTTTTTTGCTTTTTACATCGCCCAAGATGCTTGGTGTTTTTTTGGTATGGGGTTTTCAACATATTGCTCGCTTCCGCTCGCGCCGCCGTGGCCCATGGGCACTACACCCAGCGCCCCGCGCGAGCCGCGGGGCCCCACTATCTAGAAACGAGCACATCCTCGAAGACACGATATGCATTCGGGAACCCCGCAGCCACCATAACGACATGGACGCCACTCTCAACGTTGCCCGTGCCTGAGGTGGCGCGCGGGGCCCCCCGCGAGGCCGCGTGACCCCCCAGGGCGCTTGGAAGAGGAGGGGCCGCACGAAGGATGATGGGGGGGCTCTCTGTCGCTGCATCCGACAAGCATTTTCTCGAGGCCCCAACGGGCCCCACTTGGCATCCGAAGTTGGCGTCGGACGGCCCGACCCGAGACTGGCTTGGACGTTCGGAAAACATACCACACTTAAGGGCAACCAAGAGGCCTGACTGAGGCGCCCGAGAAAGCTCGGGCCCCTGATTGACCCCGTTGTATTAGCCTGTGGTGCTTTAGCGTTCTCAACCCATCGAGCTACCTGGGCCCCAAGAGGCCCAAACTGATTCCACTGGCCCGAGACAGTCTGCGAGGCCCCTTCGGGCTCCCAGCGCGGCCTCAGGCCACAGGCGGCGATGTGGCCCAGGCGGACACAAACGCCAGGCCACTGCGAGCCATGGGGGGCCCAAGACGGCCCAAGAGACCCCAAGGAGGCCCGCGAAGGCCCTGGGACGGCCTCGGGAGACAACCCAGACGGCCAAAACGGCGACGCGTCGGACAGAGGGGGGCCCTGGAGGCCCTGAGGAAGCCGCGCGGCCGACGAGTGCCCCGAAGGTTACCCAGACATGCGCATTGGGTCCTGACGCGGACCTCGATAGGCCAGCGTGAGCCCACCCCCCCAACCCCTAGAAGAGGGCGAGCATTGTCACATGCGACGGTCTTCTGGGCGGCGACCGAAGGGTCGCCACACAGAGCGCTTCGCTGGCACGGCGGAGGATTTGCCACGAGCATGTGGAATGAAATGGAAGCTGAGCCGCGGGGGAACGACGACGACGACGACGACGACGACGACGACGACGACGACGACGACGGCGACGACGACGACCACGACGGCCACGACGAGGACGACGACGACGACAACGACGACGAAGGCGACGACCACGACGACGACGAAGCCATCCCGTGGTCATCCCGCTGATCCTCCTACCCGTCCGTCCTGCTCCCCTCGCTCATCATGCCATGGACCCTCTCACTGGCCATCCTACCCATACCAGTGCTCATCCCGCCTACCCCTCACGCTAGCCCCGCCCCCTATCCCCCCTACTCTCCCTATCCGCCCTCTCCTCCTACTCATCGTCGTGCTCATTCGCCCGACCCCATCCGCCCCGCCACCCGCCCACTGACCACGGGGAGGCAACGCCGACAACGACGAGGGGTGGAGTAGGAGAGGGGGGGGGGTGTTTTCAGGAGGGGCCCCCCCCGCTCAGAGGGGGCTGTCTGCCCGCGGCCCTCGCCGCGAGCTGGTCCGCCAGGCGGCGGTGGGTCCTCATCCGAGGACTTGGTCGAACTTCTTGTGCAGCAGCGCGGGCAGCACGTCGATCGGCTTGAGCACCTTCAGCGCCCCCTTGAGCTTGACGTCGATCTTCCGGATGGAAGAGTAGAGCTGGTCGCCGTCGCCAGTCGTGTCCAACACTTTGATCGCCGCGGCGATGTGGCCGATGCTGCGGCCCTTGTCGACCTCGACAGCGTAGTGCTTCTTCGTCGTGGCGTCGATCTCGGGGAGGCTGACCGCCTCGCACTTGGCAGCGTAGTGCTCGTACTCCTGAGGAGGCTAGGCTGAGGAGACAAGGGGGTGAGGCGAGGCTGAGGAGGAGAAGGGGGCGGGGCAGGAGGGAAGGGAGGAGGGAGGCAGACGAGGGTAAGGGCGATGGTGACAGAGTGGCAAACCAGGGAGGAGGATGGGGCGAGGGGGGAGGGCGACGGGGAGGGCGAGGGTGGGGGCCAGGGGTGAGGAACGAGGGGGGAGAAGGAAGTGGGTGAGGGGGGGGGTATGGGGACGGGGAGGGGCATTAGAGTGATGAGGGGGGGAGCTCTTTCCCACACCTCACCCGCCTCCGCCACCAGCTTCATCCTCCCAATCCTCATCCTTATCATCATCGTCGTCCCCATCCTCCCCCATCCTCTCACACCCCTCATCCTCATCCAACTCCTCATCACCCTCATCCTCCTCGTCCTCCTCCACCCTGACTCTGACCTTAACATCTTCCTCCGCCCCCCATTCCCATTCCATTTTATCCCCCGTCTCCGTCTCGACGTCGGCCGCCAGCTGCAGGATCGCATCGATGTCCATGCTGTCGCTCAGCAGCGTGGCGGTGCCGTGCTTCACGAGCTGCTTCCACGTCTTCCCCTTGAAATTGCCAGTCCACTTCTTGCCGCCCTCGGCGCCGCCGTTGCGCTCGACCAGCTTCTTGTAGGCCGCGTCGAGCGGCACCTTCGCCACGACGCCGATCGCGGCGGCCACGTCCTTCATGAAGGCGGCGCGCTGGTCGAGCAGCTCAGTCGCCGTGTCCCAGCAAGCCCACTTCTGCTTCGCCGTCTCCGCGAGCGACGCCCTGATCTCCACGAGCGCCATGACCCTGCTCAGGCCGTCCTGGACCCACGGGGCGGCGGCAGTGTCCGCGGCAATTACATCCGCCACCTCCCCCATGCCAATGAGGGCGGTGTGCGCCACATGTAGCTGGCGCGCCTCGGCCAGGTACTGCACTGCCTTCTTCGCCGTCTTGGCGTTCGCAGGCGCCAGAGCGGAAGCGACCTGCATCAGCGCGGCTTCGTCATTCTCGAACTTGGTGCCATTCGTCGACCTGTCCTCGAACACCAACGAAGACCAGCGCCAGAACACAACGTTGAGCTCGGCCTCCGCGTCGGCGTTTGAAGCAACTTTGCCAACACCTTTAATAGACTCCAGCAGCTTGCTGCGAATCGGAGCTGGCACCTCCCCGTCGCAACTAATACGTTCCATGGTGTCCCTCATGGCAGACTTCAGCGAGGTGACCTTCGCCACCTCCGTCTGGGTGGATACCTTCTTGCGCAGCGTGGTCTCCATGCCGTGGATGTCATCGTCCATGGGGAACAGTTTCTTGGCCAACTGCGCGACGGTAAGCACTGCGTTGAGCCGCTCCTGAGATGTATCAGCAGTGGCTTTGCCCTTGCCATTGCCAGTAACGTGATTGTATGCACCGCTGAGCACCTGCCTGGCCATGTTGTCCACGCAGTCCAGCGAGTTGGGCCTGAACGTACTCGAGTGCCAGACGAGCAAATCCTTGAATACCTGCTCGAGGTGCGCCATCGTGCCCATGAAGTTCTCCGCGTCGAACGCCTCCTTGCTAAGAGGCTCGTCCTCGTCAGTCATGCTCTCCAGCCAGTCCGACTGCGCCTTGACAGACGCGCCGTGCTTCTCCCATGCGCGCATGGCCGTTTGAATCTGCCCGATTGCTTGCGCGTGGTAGTTCGCCCCCTGGAGCGCACTCCAGATCATCGCGCCGATGCTCTCAGGCGACCCCGAAGCCGTCGACACGGCATGGTTGATGCAAGACATCTTCTCGGGCAGCGTCGCCAAGTCGTCTGACGAGGAGCTCAGCGCCAATATCACCTTCATGATGTGGCGGACCGCCAGGGACTCGGCCTCGAGGTCCTTGGGGCAAGACGCGTCGCGGAGCTCAGCGTTGATCTTGGTGAAGATTGCCTGGGCCAGCCGAACCACCGCGTGGGCCGACTCCTTGTCGTTGGAGATCCACTGGCACAGGACCTCTTGCACGACGAAATCAGCGAAAAGACTATACTTCTGAGCGGCCGTGGACGACCCGTTGTTGAGCGAGGGTGCCAGGGGGTCGAAGTCCGTGGCGAGGGCATCGCCACCAATGTTGAAGCACGTCGCTTTGTCGATGAACTTCACAATCGCCTCATCTGATATGTTATCGAAGGACGCCTCGAAGGCCTTGACATCCTTGCGCAAGCCGCGTAGGACCATGTAGGAGATCTGCTCCCAAGGGTACTTCACGTCAGCTTTCTTGAGCTTCGCGTGCAATGCCAACTCCTCCGACTCGTCGAGCTGGTCCGCCGCCGTGTGCCGCACCTTGTAGGCGACATCCACCAACTCCATGTGCGTCTTCAGGACACTCCTTACACCCGCGCACTCGCGGACACCGCTGAGCCTACCCAACAACGCGTTCCCCTCGATCTGAGCTTTGCCCATCTTCTTGCCCGAGAGTATGGCGGGGATGTCGTTCTGCTGGATCCAGTAGTAGCACTTGTCCTTGTTGTCCACTGGGCACTCCGAGTACAGCTTCGCGGTAGCCGCGGCCGAGGCGCTGTCGTCTGCGGCGCGGTGCCCCTGGCCCTGACCGCCCGACACCGCTGTCTTGCAGTCCTGGGGGGTGCGGCTGTCACGCGGCGACTGAGCAGTTGGTCCCGCCGACGACGCCACGCCCATGAACCTGAACTTCCCGACCACGCGGCTGATGGCCCCGAAGACCTTGGCCGACACTGGGTTGCCGCCTGATGCATCGACGACCGATGCCGATCCCCGAGACTCACCTTTCTTATGCCTCTTCGCGGCGCCAACAACGGTGCCCGCTACTTGGCTGATGCTGTCGGGGAGGAAGCCGGATCCGTCATCGTCGCCGTCTGGATTGGAGACTCTCTGGGTGACCTTCCTGGTGAACTCGGACTCGTCGTACGCGTCGAGGGACCGCCTCTTCCTCAGCCCGTCCTGCTTGCCCTTCAACTGCGTCGCCTTGATGCCCGACCCCAAGAGGTTGCCCTGATCCATGCCCTGGCACCGCTCTTGGTTCCACGCCTGGAAGGACAGGAACCCCTGGGACGGCAACTGCGTGCCGTTCGCGACGAGGTGGTCGATCCGAAGGTTGGTGCTGGTGCCCAGGGCCACCCGCACGCGTCTGTAGCCAGCGGTGGCAACTGGATCCATGTCGTCGATCACCGCGTAGCAATCCTCGGGGCTGCCATTAACCGTCCAGCCCTTGAACGGAGCCACGTTGAAGGAGTTGACGCGGCGCTTGCTCAAGAACGCCAGCTCGGCCGCATTCAAGCACAATGCGTCAACGTAGATGGTCGTCGTTGCGTCCATCTCCGTGCTGACCGACTGGTTGGGTGCCGTCTGAGAGCTCGGGAGGTCCCGAGTCGCCAGCCACTCGGCTTTCAGCGCGCTGCTCTCCGAGAAGGCCTTCGCAGCCGCATCGGCGCTGCGGAAGATCTGCATGCGCTCCACTGCGGTGACACATGGGCTGCACAACGGGCCTTCATCGCCGCCCGCGGCCTTGCCAAAGGTCACCTCCTGGCAAGGGCGCCGCAACAAACAACACTTCTCAACGGTACATCGCGATCTATGACGTTATCCATTGCCTTCCCCCCGACGCGCACAGGGGCATCCTGCGCAGCGGGCAACCACTAATACTCACTTCCAGAACCCTGAACCCTCGATCACGTCACCGCGCCATGGTCACTTCCCAAAGGCCTGAACAAGTTCGGGTCACAAACCCGCCACCCTCCTTCAGGAGGGCGGGGTTCGCGGGGCTGGCTCGAAAACCGAGTGGTGGCCCGCCGACGCAGCCGAAGAGGGCAAGGGCCGAGGAGGGCTGGCTGGCGGGACTGGGCGGGCAGGTGCGACGGCAAAGGGCAGGCTGGGGTTCGGGGCATGGGAGGTGGAACTGAAACCGAGGGAGGGTCACGCGACACAAGGAATTGTAAACGGGTGTCCGTGTTGACGCTGTCGCAGCCGACGCACACGCGGGCCGCGCCCTTGGCGACGGGGCTCCCGAAGATCCCACCAGCGCCACCTCCACCATCGGCAGCTCTAGCGTCGTGGGCAGCGAGAGCACCCGCCGTGAGTGGCATCACAAGCCACCAAAACATGGAAGAACGCTGATTGGCTGGGGTTATGAAGGATGAATCACCATGGCTCAGCCTCGCTCCAAAACGGCAAACGGGTCGCCCGCGTACAGCGGTGGGGGCCGACCTCAGGTCAGCCCCCACTCCAAAACTCCCATTACAAACCAGCGTCGACGAGCGGGGCCCCCAAACAATGGGTATTTGCACAGTTGGTGTGTAAGCTACGCGGTGCGAGTATGTGGCGAGAACTGCGTAGTGCAATATGCGCAGTGCAAGTGGTGTTAGCGATGTGGTTGTGCGGGTTAGGTGCTACGATTCGTGGTGTAAGCTATGATGTCACATCTACGTGGTGCGAGCTGTGATATGCGGCACAACCTACGAGGCGCAACGGAGCGCTCACGAGCTGGCGCGAGAAGCAACGCGATGCCACCTCGACACAAACCCCAAGCGCACGGGGTGCCCTCGGGGCGCCCTTTCGGCGACGCGGGAGGCAACGCGGAGTTACCTCGGCACACGCACACACACACGCACGCCAAGCGCGAAGGGCGCCAACGGGGCAACACGGGCGGCCCCGCGACGCGTGCTCGAAACACGATTCGCACCCCAAGCTCACGGCCCCCCCACACGGGGCGCCCACGGGGCGCCACGGGCGGCAACGTGGCGAAACCACGACACGCCCATCCAATCCCCAAGATAACGTTTCTAAGACCACATACGTGCAAGCACCGCTTGGGGAATGACGAACCGACTGCGCCGTCCCAGAACATGTATCGGCATGGCCCTCGAAGGCCCGCAAACACGGAAACTCTGACATGTCGTGTTTGGGGAACGGTGGAAACGCCAAAGTCGGGGTGTTGAGGTCTGGGGAATTTACCCCCCCACCCCCCCACACGGCCGACGCTGTGCACATGGACGCGGTGGGGATTGTGTGTTTGTCGACTCGATCTGAAACCAACTTTGTTCATGTTCTGTCGTGCTCCTGATCATGCCACCCCATCCTAGCTCCTAGAACTTCCCATCGTAGTCACTACTCCCGCTACCCTTGTCACCCTCTAAGTCAGCCACGTCCTCGCGCGCCTCCCAGCCACTGCGAGGGCCAGCGTCGACTCCAAATCAGGATGGCCCCACCAGAGACCAGAAACGCACACTCTCGGCAATCAAGTGCGGCGGTTATGTATGGTCGCGTGCGAGGGGCTGGTGTATACTATAACATATCGGGCCAGGGGCTGGGGTATACTAGAACATATGTTGGCATCGGGCTGTGCTGAACGAACTCCGACGAGCAATGCTGAATGCTATAAGATGGCTGGGGACGCATGCGACATCATTGGATACAAAGAGCACTCGAGGCCAGAATGAACGGACTTAACTACACCAGTGTTCACATCCCCGCATAGTCGCAAGCGGGCTGGAGTTGCCGTGCAGGCACTTGCCAAAAACGCAACATAGGCGAGTCGATTCAATTCGACCTTGGGCTGGAGTCGAGCGAGGGCGATGCTGAGGGATATGAGGGCGGAGGACAGGAGGGAGCGATCACGCGAGCACGTCATCAGATGGTCAGCGAGCACGCCGCCTGCGCTGAGGGGGGCGCGGGTCAAACACCGCAGCGCCAAGCGCCAAGTCTAGGGTACGGAAACCCTTGCAAGTGCATGCGATAGCTATCAGCCTTGCAAGCCGAACGGCCGCCTGCAGCAGGAAGCATCTCCATGCCAAATCAACTGCTTGCTCCGAGCCTGAGCCTGCTCTGGGCGCCCTGGGGCGGCGCGCCTAGCTGCCCCCGAAAATGGGCAGGGAACTTCGCTGGGATGACTGCGGCAGGAATGCACCGCGCTTTGGGCGGAACCTGCAAAGCGGGCTTGGCTGGGGGAGGCGGTGCTGCAATCGCCTTAAGCACCGCGCGTGCCTTAGGCGCCGCGTGCGCCTTTGGCTGCGGCCCACAGTGCGCCTTGGCATTGGCCTTAACCACTCCCGCGGGCGCCTTGCCCTTGGCTTTCACCTTCGCAGCTGCCTGGTGTGCCTTCACATTCGCAACTGCTTGACTCGCCAAAGCCTTTGCCTTGGCAGCGCGGACAGCCGTGCCAAACAAGTCATGGGCTGCCCGCTGCAAATCGACTGCAACGCTCGTGACACGCCGACGGAACACATCATTCTCACGGAGCACCGCCGAGTAACGAACATGCATGAGGTGGAGCCGAGCTTTCAACCTCTGTTCTCGACGTGTCATCGCCTTGGGCGGCATCGCCGCGATCTACTGTGGAGTGTACGAATATCAACAGATGTAGTGCTTCCCTGAACTGGCACCGCTAGTGTGCGGTGCTGTACAAAAGCGGCAGCGGTGGGTGAGCGAATGGGGCAGGGGAAAGGGGGCTCCACTGGAATTGAAGGAAGGGTGCTGGAAGGTGGCGACCACCATGACGCTACGGGAGAGCGTCTCTCGCAGAAGGGGTGTCCACGGGCCACGGGCCTCCGCCCACGTCGTGGGCGGAGGCCCGTGGCCCGTGCATAGAGACATACCCCCCTCGAAAGACGACATCCTGAGTCCAGCCCTCTGGGCGTAGGTGGTCTAGGTCGGCTTCGCGTCCAACCCCCATTCTTCCCCTTCGGGGGTGGGGTACCACTCCCCCTACCCCGCCCCCTGGACCTGGCCGGCGGGGCGGCGGGTACTTACAGGGCACAGGATGGCCCAATGCAGCTCCAAAATGACTCAGGAGATTCCAACATGAACTCCAAGATGGTTCAAGATAGCGCAAGATCGCTCGACATGACTTCCAGTATGCTCCGAGCGGGTCCCATACGGCCCAACGAGGGCTCCAAGTGGCCAGAGAGCTCCCCAAGGAGGCCCCCAAATAGCCAACATCTCCCCAACACCTCCAGGAAATCAATGGTGTTTGCTTGCTCGCCTGTTCGTTTCCGACGGCCTTCCGAAACCTCAAGATGTTCCTAGAGGGCCCTGGGGAGCCCCCTAAAGGACCCAAGATGGTCCCCAGACGGCCCCAATAGCGCCCAAGAGCGCCCCAAGAGGACCCCGAGAGGTCCCCAATAGGTGACTTTGGGGCTCCAGAGGGGCGACGCTGATTGCGGCCCCCCTTCCATGATCGGTTCCCTCCAAGAAGGCCCAGAGAGGCGCCCAGGAGGCCCCAAGAGGCCCCCAAGATGCCCCCAAGAGGCCACCGACAACCCCCCAAAAGGCCCACCCGAGGCACATCAACACGTTCCAAGAGGCCTTCCCCCGAGGCACCCAAGACGCTCTCGTGCCCCACTGGACGGCCAAGGGACCCCCCAAGACGCTGCTATAGGCTTGCAAGAGGCGCCCAAGAGATCTCACAAGAGCCCCCGAGCCACAGCCAATATGCTCATGGCAATGTTGCTTGCCCTTGTCCTCTCCCTTACCTTCCTACTCGTCATATTGATCCCTCCTCCCTCATCCATCCATCCATCGTCCTCCTTCTCCTCCTCCATGAACGAACGGTTCGGCTGTCCCCCTCTTCGCCCCTACACCGCCCTGATCATCTCAACTCGCCTGGACGTCGTTTCTAGATGGGCTGTTGGGGATACGCGAAGGGTCAAAATGTGAGTGGCGATGCCATGCGCTGGGCCCCCCTGGAAAATCCGCCGCGGCTCCTCGAACCGCCGAGGGGGCGCGTCACGCGATCCTGTACGCCCCCAAGGGAAAACACACAAACGCGTGAGATCACGCGGCGAAGCTTCTGTTTAAACGCGCGCGCGTCGATAACAGGATGCAAAACGCTTTGCCTTGTCTTAACGCACGTCTCACCCGCCAGGATGCCACATGATTGCCGACCAAGAACCCGCCAAACACGCATCATGCCAACATGCCCTAATGATCAGTGCCCGTACCCGTGGTGCGACGACCCCGCTTGCCCCCGCACCAACACCACCGTCGTCGTCAAGACCATCGTCACCGCCCAGAAATTTACAGACATGTGAACGAAACAAAAATACTCATGAACTCTCCGCCCCCACTGAGTTTGAGGCTTCCGTGGGCGCAGCGCGACCGTTTCTCACGCTAAGGACACGCCAAACGCACCCCCGCGCGCAATTAAATTGCTATTGGGGTTTGGGACCACGGCGCTGTTTCCTAGCCTCGGACTTGGAGGCGTTGGGGGCAGACCGCCCCGTACCTTGATGTGTGTGGGTGGATGGTGGGTTGGTTTGCTGGGGGCGTAGCCGCCCTTGCAGAGTGGTCGGGCGGTGGGTGGGCGGGAGGTGGTGGCGGTAACATCTTCGCCTGGCAATCAGTCCCAAGGCCGTTGGGGCAGCTGGCACGGCGCCGTCCGCGTTTGGAACGTCGGGCCCACGGCGTCCGCTCTGCGCTGAAGCTCAGGGGCTGGGGCGCAGGGGTCGAGGCGCCCAGCCACGCGGCAATGGGGGGTGGCACAGGGCTCGACGCGGGTGACCATGGCTGAATCGTCTGGCCTAGATGCAAAGGCCAGAGGCGTGGGGCTCAAGGCTGGGCCCAGAGGGCTCGGGGCTTACGGCATAGGGTTTGAATGCCCTCGGGCTCAATGCCCATGCCCCAAGGCCGCTGGCATTGGGTTCGGGCGCAGGCAAGGCATAGGGCAAGGCGTGCGCGGACTGGGGGCGAGGTATCGGGACGGTTGGGTCGGCGCAGAGTTCTCGCCCCCCCCCCCCCCAGCTAAACACTGCGACAAGAGGAATACTATTATTCGTCTCGTCGATGCTTTTATCTTCGGGTGGCGAGCAACCTGTTTCCGCCATATTTGAACATTCTTGCTCCCCGCATCGGGATTCTGGTATATGGCAAGGAGCAGGTTTCTTGCCCCCCCCCACCCCAGGCGCTTGGACAAGAAGGTGAGGCGACGCGCGCCTTAGATGGGGTAGGGGTGAGGTGAGTCGTTCGATTCCCTCAATGTTCGGTCGGAGGTGGGTCGCGCGGTCCCCCCCAGTGTTCGGTCGGGGGTGAATCGTTCGGTCCCATCAGTGGGGGGGTCGGAGGTAAGTCGTTCGGTCCCACCAGTGTTCGG